CGGGCAGGACAGAAGCTCAAAGATTTATTAAAATCTATGGGGAACGTTAAATCAGTTCAGTTTACAAAGCTGCAATTCCATTTCACTGATGCCAAGTATTTTTGTGGAAAGGGTAGTAGTTACGGAGCCTCTTCACTCCGGGAGGCAGAGGAAGGGTCGTGACTACTACAGTGACCCCAAGACGAGAAGATACAGGAACCCCCTGAGCACAGGGATGCATCTCCGTCATCTCTGCAGCCCTAGCGTGAGCACAGTGACGGGCACCGAGGACTTGAGGACATTTTCTGAGTGAATAATTGAGTGAATGGATAACTGAAAGATGGGGGAAGGGGTAGGAGATCTCAAGCAATGACAGGGGCAAGAAAACACAGATGTGTTCAGTACAACCAAGCAGAACACCAGGGTGTGTGACTCTGGGAGCAGTGGAGGACAAACCTAAGCACTGTATTGGATGGGTGGTGGGTTCAATGCTAAGAAAACTAAACTTTGTCCTCTAGTAACCTGCATCCAGTCAATAGGAAGCACAGGGGAGGGACCTGATCAGATCTTTGCTTTTGAACATGTCTTAGGCAGCTGTGGGCTTGCTGGGAGGCTCAGGATCCAGTTTGGAGTCTGCTGTCACAGTGTAAAGGCAGAGTCAGGGCAGTGGCTGAGAAGCAGTAGAGCAGGCGATAGATAGCACAGACCTCTAAGCAACTTGCTGCCTGATTACATGTGAGATGTGGGCAAGGAAGGAGGCACTGGGCCATAGGCTAAGTCAGGACAGACATCCATTCATTTTCTCATCATATCTTTCCTATGCTAGACCATGGGACAGACAATGGAAGAGAAGAATAGAATTCAGCCCTTGCTGTCATGATACAAGGCTCATGGTCTAGCAGGAGAGACAGACACATAAATAACAACAGCAATGTCTAGAATAGAATAGAATAGAATAGAATAGAATAGAATAGAATAGAATAGAATAGAATAGAATAGATACAAGATATCACAAGAGTTTCATTCTGGAGCATGTTTGGACCCAAGGAATATCCAAGCTCAAGTAATCCCTAGTCATGATGTTATATGTTATATAAACATTTTGGGATCACTCAATCATTCATTTGAGAAGTATTATTTATTGAGGACCTACATGCCAGGCACTGTTCTAAGTGTGGGGCTATGACAAAATCCCCTGCCCCCATGAAATTATGTTCTAGGGGCAGAGAATGACACTCAAATAAATACAATAGAGAGTATGTGAGATAGTGAAAAGCGCTAATCGGAGACAATAAAAAAGGGGAGGGAAGTAAGAACTGTCCCAGGCAGGGGCTGCGGAGGTTGGGCTTTCAGAGAAGATGGCCAAGGAGAGCCTTCCTGAGAAGACGGTTCGTTTGATAGCAAGGCTGAGCTGCTGTTCCCACGGCTGCTTCTCCGAGTCTAGCCCCTTGCTCTATTTATTTCACTTCCTGAGACTCTCCTCATTCTCTCCAAGGCAAACACTTCAGTCTTGCTTCACTGGATTGGAACTTGATGCTTCTCAAGAGTGTCCTTGCTCTTTATGGAAGAGAGCACCTTAGTCCTTTTAATAGCCTGAAGACAAGGGGCAGTGATAAATCAAGACTGAGGGAGCATTCAGTATTTTTACACACTTTGTATATACACACACACACAAATACCACACTGAAGAGTCATCCTCTCGGAAAATGGCAGACAGGGCAGCAGGGGACGGCAGTGGGCCTCCCTGAGCCCGTGTTTTCATGACCCTGTTGAAGCCTGGGCTTCCCCAGGGAGAGTTTGGCCCTGGCTTCTTGCACTTCCTGTGGGCAGAACCATCCCAAGTCTTCCAGGATGGTTCGGCTGATCAATCGCTCACGCACAGGCACGTTAAGCACACCTGGTACGCAGGACCCTCCCCGCACTTGTGTGGTGGGCACACAGAGGTACACGAGGCCAGGTTCTGCTTGTCATGGAAGGAGCTGGGGCTTGGAGGACTAGACAGACTCCCCCCTGGTCTCCTGCCCTTGACCTCGTCTTGCCCTCCATAGCCAGAAGGACATTCTAAAACACAACCTGATCTTGTCCCACCCCCTGTCCCTCCCTTCCTCGGCTCAGCTTTCAACTTTTTGATCCTGCCTTCTGTGAGGCCACATTTTTCTGGGTGTCCTCTGACCTCACTGGTTACTTCTTACCAGCTTCCCTTGCCGTCTCCTCCTCCTCCTCCTCTTCCTCTGCTGAACCCAGTCTCTAAATATTGGTGGACCAGGACTCTGACCTCAGCCCTCTTCTCTTCTCAAGCCTCGTTCTCTCCCCAGATGGTCTTGCTCTGTGGCTTTAAATAACGTGTATGTGCAGATTCAAGATCTTTCTATTGAGCTTCACAATTGGAGATCTTACTGCTTATCTGACATTGCCATTGGGTGTCTATTAGACCTTGTGAACCTCGCATAACCAACACAAGAATTCCTGGTTTTCTTCTCCCCATCCCAAACCTAATCCTCTTTCCCATCTCAGCAAATGGCACTTGGAGTCTTCCCGAATGCTCGGGTCCCAAAGCTAGCAGTCATTCTTGACTCTTCTTTGTGCCACGACCTATTCATGTTGGAGCTACTTTCAGAAATATATTCTATTCTGAATATGATCATTATTCAAGATTCTCTACTTCCTCAAAGTTACCTCCATTTCTTATCTGGATTGCTGTTTTCCCATTTCTATCGCCTAAAATCCATTCTCTATTTAGCATCCAAAGAGATACGGTGAAATATGAGTCAGTTTCGGGGCTGCATCGTGGCTTTTGTGGACCCTAGGCACTTTACCCTCATAGGCCTTTTCCTCCATTAAATAATATTTAAAATTCTATTTTATGAGTCCATTGTTATAAAGATGAATATATTAGTATTATATATGAAAACATTTTATTGGACTGATATTAAAGAAATTAAAATTTTTGTAGATCCCTAAAATCACTGTGGGTCCGGGGCATTGTGCCTGCTGTACTCATGGATATGTCCATGTCCCCTACTTAAAGTCCTTCAGTTGTATCCCCTGGCAAGTAGAATGATTTCCAAAGCCCTTGCTGGAATTTTTAATTCCTATATGAGCTGGCCAGAATCTGTATTTCTAAAGCCCTCTCCTGATGCTTCCTTGTTTGCTCTGATCTGACCAGAATAAATTTGATCCTGATGGAAGGCCTCGCATTTCAGTTTGCTCAGCCTGGAACACATTCCCCCCAGATTTTCAATGAGCTGCTCACAGTCAGGTAGCAAGCCTGTGAGTTTCTCGTGGGTTATGCAAATATGGAAGAGGATGACTGGGCTTGAGGCATCTTGCTGGGTTCTCTATTTGAAAGGGCTGTCTGCTAGGTAAGGGTGCCCCAAAAGCAGGGGGCAGAGGGTTACATCACCAAGGGTAAGGGCTAAGGAGGGTGGAAGAGCTGGTGTTATCTGAGCAGTAGCAGTCACCAAGAACACAGGAATAGTGAGTCAGGTAAAGATGTTTGCTCTTTCCCTCTTCCTCTGCTCCATTCCAGTCCACTGGAGAAGCTGCAGCCCAGAAGAGAGAGCACCTTTAAATCAAATAGATTGGTTTATGTTTTAAATCAAATGGCATTGAGGTTCATTTGCCAAAAGGAACTAGGCAACTATGGAATCAGTCTGCCCAACTCCAAGGCCATCATATTGTCACCCCAGGCTGCTGCCTCAGCTTTCAGCCCTGTTTAATCTTGTCCTGGAGGAGACTGGTTTATTTCCTCCTCTGGGAAACCCCAGTCTAAAAACAGATGCGTGTTCATCTGCCAGACGTGGTCTGTATTTACCACCTATATGCTATGACTCACCCCACCAAAATGATTTTTAAATGCCCTTCCCCTGTCGGAGGCCCTCAGAATGCTGCTCCCGGTGAAGAAGGCATGGCAGGAATCACAAGGAAAGCCCAGAGGTGAGAGGCGTAGAGAGCTGCACCCACCTTGGCCTAGGTGGGCAAGGATGGCGGCCAGTCTGCAGTCGATACAGTGCTCTGAAGGGTTCGGCAACTGAGGTGACCAAACATGCTTGCTCGCCCAGGACAGGTGTGGTTTATGCCAACTGTTCCAGCCTCATTATTCATAGCATTCCCTTCCAGTCTGTCTCAGAAGAATCCCATTGTGAATGAGAAATGGAATGGCTACCCTACCAAGCACTCATAGAGCTCAGTTGACAGAGGCAACGTCACGGCCTCTTTGAGCTGGTTTGTGATGAGAACGAAGAGAAGAGGCAGACGTGAACAGCAGTGAAACCCAGGCCAGTGCGGGGACTGCCCACCAGCCACCCGTGAGCAAGTGCTGAGGAGAATGGAGACAGCAAGTGCTGTCCAGAATTTCTCTGGTTGCCCTGGAAAACTGTCACTTGCCCTTCAGTTAGTGAACAGTAGCCTGGAGAGTCGTCATTTCAGGGCAGGCTTAGTCACCCTCAACAAGTGCTGAGCGAAAGGTCTCCTGCAGGGATTGTTAGGGAAATATTTGCACCTTGAGTATGTGGCCCAGGTGGCATCAGGGGCTTCTCCTCCCACTGGGCAGGTAAACTGAGCCACACAAAGAACAGGGAATTAGGAGCGTGATCTCGTAATTTTTTTTTTTTTGGTCCAAAAAAAGTAAAGAAATAATATACATACCACTCTGCCATTTACTGGCTCATATTTCTTTACCTCTTTAGTGCTATTTTCCCAGTTTTACACAAGCTCCTTTCTAAAATTCAAAATTCTGAACAAAGTATATGTAAAATATGACTTCCAAATTCTGCCACAACCTTCTGATCCTCAGCAACAAATGATTTTCAGGTTTAGCCTGCCCCATTTCATGCTGTGAACATTTCCAAATCCTAGTTACAGATGCTGGTTAAACCCAGAAGGCTCTGATGTCTGACACTACCTGGGATTTATCACTCTTTCTGCATTGACACCTTGACCAAAAGGCTGTTAGAGCAACTCCCAAAATGTATGTATTGGAACACTGGATTGTTCGGAGGCATTATATGAGAAAACAAGGGTTCCATGAGCAAAGATGTTTATTGAAACACAGATTTTAAAACATCAAAATGTCCCTTTACTATAGGACTTCGCAGAGCTCTTAATGTGCAAAAAGGCATGTGAACCCCTGATAAAAAGAGAGAGAGTATTCAGAGCCATCTTCCTCCTACTTGATGATAGTATTTATGGTAGGAAATCTGGAGGGATGGGTGTTTAATGAATACATTTTGGGAAATGTGGTTCTACTAGCCTTGCTAGGCAAATATGCTTACAATGTATGTAACTAATACATGTAAAGCAAGAATTAATACAATTCTTTTAATTTTTTCTTTCAACTACTGTGATAGTTTAATACCATGCTTTCTTTTTCTTTACCACTGAAAAGATAGACATATGGAATTATTCTATAATATTCTTTCATGGTTCCATGAGTTAAGCTATATGCAGCACATGAATACCATTTTCGAGTAAGTTACATCTATTTGTGAACTAAACATTGATATTATTTTGACTTTGTGCCATTGTCTAACTTTGCAAAAATTGAAATTAAGAAATCAAGGTGCTTCATAAAAAGAGCATCTATTTTTTAAAAAAAATCAGTTCTGGTCTAGGTATTCGGTGAACTTTTTTTTTTTTTTTAAATCTAGCTAAAGCAAAAACAAACAAAACCCCCAAATACCAGACATAGAAATGGAGACCTCTCATCTTCCTCAGGCTAGATTCCTGTTAGATTCCAAAGCAAATTGTACTGGAACTCAGAAGATTCCTGACACCCCTGCATCTCCTTGCTATGCATAGTATTTCTTACATGATTTGAAGAAAGCCTTTCTTGAGTGCCTTATCAGAATTATCCTTCCGAAAAGCTCAAGAAACACAAGCAAAAAGGCACTCAGGGAATGTTTAAGTGACAGTGCTCTCTTTGAATGTCCTTACAAATTGCCACAATGCAGGTTGAAATCACCTGGGGTGCAAGCACAGCAAACATCTGCCTTGAAGTCCATGTGTTTTTATCTCCCCTGAAACATTTAGAAAGAAGTGCCTAGTCTGAAGGCAGCAAAATGAAAACACAGAATACGTCAAAGTCTTTCTTTATATGCTATGATTATCATATTGATAAAACATTCATAAAAACCTTTATTGGAGTGCATGATTCTAATCCATTTTGCATTCTCCCAATTACCATTTTTACTATTATATCTGATTATATATGCCTGCAGTCTGCAGCATTCTAGCAAAAGTGGCCCTTTTAAAGCTAGCGAAAAAGAAGAGGTCATACTGTTTGTTCTTAAAGCAACTTCCAAGTATTTTTACTATAAAATAAGTGAGGGAGAAAAGTTGCCAAATTGAATATGTACACAGCCTCCTGAAAGCACGTTGAAAACTATGCAGAATAATTTTTGATTAGGCTGCATGACTGTGCCAGCCTCCAAACAAGTGGTTATTCTGCTGTAACATCTGCCGAGCAATGCATCCATTGTTCTCTGGAATTTAATTCATTTTAAATTACTCCATCCAAATGATAAAACATGAGATGTGCTATACTCAGGGGGTAAAATGCTATGATTGTTTTTAGCGTGACCACAACTGTTAGCTGGGAAGCAATACAGCCTGTTCTAATTAGGCCCTGATTATTATCTTCGGAAAAATAGCTAGTTCTAGAAATGTGAGTGAAATCCTGTGAAATGGGAGGATTGGGATAAATAATCTTGACTATTCTGGTGTGACTGCAAAGCTGGCAGTACCACATGCAAAGACTTCTTGCAAAGTAGAGCAACCACATTTGGCAGAGAAACTATTTGCAAAACTAAAAGCAGGTTGGGATACTGGCTTACTGTAAGGTATAGTTTAATATGTGTATCAGTACAGTCAATAGATTATTTTACTGTTCAAGGACTACTGTGCAAATGTCTCCAAATCTTTGACTGCCTAAGAAGTGTTGTCAAAGTTCCTAAGAGTTATTATGTGGTGGGAATACTACCATCTGGAAGCATTAAGGATCAGGCATTGGAAAAAACAAAACAAGATGAATCTCAGAAGGAAATATGCACATACACACACATAAGAATTCATCTCCTGTATGCCACATATTTAATATAAACTTTTGAAACTTCAGATGAAATAAAAATCAGTTTTCAAAAAGGTGAAAGATTAACTTAATTGCAAAACATTCCCCATTACCCCAAACATCAGTATATTTTTAATTTCTATGCAAAAGTACTCCTTCAAACTGCTTAAATGATATGATACACAAACCAGTTTTCAAATAATAAAGCCTGTCACATCTTGCAATTTTAAGAAATTCAATAAAAGACATCATAGGACACATTACATACATACACACACGTGTGCATGCCAATGACAAAATTTGGCCTTTCCTAAAATAAGTACATGAAGACCATTAAGTGCTGACACGAAGGAAGACTGTGTCACCCCTCCCTACAATCCAGGTAGTTTCCTTTAATCCAATAGCAAATCTGGGCATATTTGAGAGGGGTGATCCTGACAGCCACGTTGAAATCCTGTGGGGAGCCATTCATGTCCACCCACTGGTGCCCTGAAAAGATGCCAATAATTTTTCGCTCCCACTTCTGCTGCTGTCTCTTCCACATCCTCACATAGACCCCCGACCCGCTGGCCCCGGGCTGGGCGTCACACTGCTGGTAGAGCAGGTCATAGGTCTCGTCTTTGACGTCGCAGAAACGGTACACTAAGTTGCCCGGCCGATCGTTGTCATACCCAGAGAAGTGGATTCTGCCCCCGGGCAGCTGTTTAGCAGGTGGGCTCACCCCAATCTTCATGAACTTTCTCTTGTGGGGTTTTTTGAGCTCCAGGAGGGCATAGTCATAATCCATGCCAATGTCGTTGGCATTGCCCTTGATCCAACCCTTGGGCACGTGGGTGCGTTTCACCCGGATCCACTGAAATTTCATCTTCTCGGGGACGGCTGAGCTCGAGTCATTGGCCCCTCGACCACCGTCTTTGAACTTGGGCTTCAGGAAGCCCACGCGAAGTTTCTGGGTTCCTTTCACGTAGGTTTTTCCATCGTGGATGCAGTGGGCAGCTGTGAGGACGTGCTTCTCCGCCACCAAGGTGCCGGTGCAGCCCGTAGATAACTTCACTGATGTTGAGAAAGGGTAGTTGAGCAGGAAGTCCTTCCCAAAAATGCTGAACCTGCTGTCGTAGCCATAGATCTGCCGCTTTCTCCGAGACCTTCCGGAAGACTCTGAGTCTCGGCCTCGGGCCCCCCCTGAGCTGCTGCTGAGGATATAGATGCCCACCTGCGTCTCTGTGCGGCTGCCGTTGGAATAGAGCGTTTCATAAGACAGATACTGCTTGGCCTCTTCGTAAGTGGGCAGTGGAGTTCCCTTATGACACTGGGGTCCGCATGAGGAGGACACTTCCAGTTTGGCTTTGGCCCCGAAGTCTGGCTTGGCTAAGTTGAGGGTAGACTGGGGCAAGACCACAGGGAGGCGGTAGGCAGGCCAAGTGGGTTTCCAGGGGGCACCGGAGGGGCTCACACGCCCCACAGCACAGAGCAGGAGGAGGAGGAGGAGGAGGAAGAGGAGCCCTGGAATCCCCGCCATGCTGAGCACCACTCTGTAGAGACAAAGACAGGCAGGTCAGGAGGGCAAGGGCTGAACGCTCATTTACTGCAGGTGCACGAAGTCTGGTAGCATGCCTGTCATTGTTTCTAATCTGTGAACCCTCCTCAGGAATCAGGCTTGACCTTGAGAATGGTCCCGTGGCTGGGTGCCAAAATGAAACTGCGTGTTCATTCCCTTCTACGTCTAACATGCCCCTGACGATGGGACATCGCAGAGCAGCATGTGTATGGTCATCAGTCCCTAGGTGAGTCGCTGGCCTGCCCCAGTTTCTATGTCATTTTGAGACTTCTTTGTGCTCCATTCTAAACTTTGTCCTCTCCTACCTACCAGGGCCTCCTGCCTTTCTTTCCTTCTTCCCTCTCATTCTTATTATAGCATGTACTAGGAAATTTTTCCAGGGCAACTTGCTCATTTAAAAGGTAAATTTAAATTACACAGGCATTGTAAGGGACAGCTTGGCAGTGCCTTACTAGGATTCCGATTACTTATAAATGATGACACATTGGGAAGACAGTATGAGACTATTTTTGTTTATTTTGCTTTGAATTTAGAACAACCTTTATTGTTATATATTTACTTCCAGAGTAGCCAGGCCTCTAACAACATATCCCTTCTTCCTTTGGATTATGTTGTTTACTAACAGGATCTTTAGGAATTTCTAAAGCTTTAATAGTCTATCATCTGTAACATTATGATCATTACTGTTGGTTACTTTTTCAGGGGTTTGTATCTGTGTTCCCAGCTAGTCTATGTGCCTTGAATGTGGGCCTATTCTAGCACTCAACAAAGACTTATTAAATGAATGCTTGTATGAAAGGAAGAGTGAATGAATGGTGTCTGCCGACTGCTAACGACAGAGATGTGCACGGGTGATGTGGCTGCTCAGAGAAAGGGCATGAGGTCCGTTGTGGGGCGTAAGATCAGGGGAGGTGATGCTTGAGAAATATACCTTCTTATGAGTGCACTGCACCCACCATTTAGAAGCAATAGGAGTCCTCATAAGTATGACAGTGTGAAGTTGTCCCTTCTTGATGCCTTGGTCACTCAGTAAGCTGTGAAATTTAAATTTACCCTCTATGAGCAAGTTGCCCTGAAAATTTTCCAGGCATCACCTGAGGCTTGAGATGGTTGCTGAAGTTGAAAAGAAGTTCAGTAACACGAGAGAGGGAAAGAGACACTTAGAGGGAACAACAGTCTGTGCAAGGGCACAGAGATATGCAACAGTGTGAGTCATCTCAGGAATTATGCCTAGCTCAGCAAGGGTGGAGCAGAGGAAGGAGCCCAGGCACCAGGCAAGAGCTGGGTGATGAAGGGCTATGTGTACCAAATGAAGGAGCTTGGATCTTATACTGAAAGTTATGTTTAAGGACCCCAGTCAATCACCCTACAAGAAAAACAACAACAAAGAAGATTGGAGGTGGTTTCATACATGTTTAAGCATCAGTTGGCTCTGACTGGCTTCTGAATCTTCTGGTTCAGGAGAAGCTGACTCAGCCAGTAGGGTCATTCATTCACAGCCCAACACCCCAAAACAAGAACGAGGAGGGGGTAGGTCTCAAGAGGCCAGTGGAACACAGCAGGAGTCAGGAAGAAACTGTTTCAGTATTTTCACCCTCTTCCTCTTTGAGGGCATAGATCTACTGGTAACTGTGGGTGCCTTTTGCTTTCTTTTACATAAAACTGGAAAATCCCAATGATTTGATCTAGTTTAGCTGAACATGCCAATCCTCATTCCCAATATCTACACACTGTATTTCTAAAGTATGTGTGTGCCCCACCCACCTCTGGGAACTCTGTGCTTGACTCTTTCTCTTGGATTCCACTTCTGTCAGAGAGAATACGGATGAGAAAAGAAAGAAATGAAGTCCTGGAAAGCCAGTTCCTTGGGACTTCCCAATTCCCTGAAACTCTGCTTTTTTCCATCTTTCCAAATAGGAAGGGTTCCTGGGAGGGTAACTTTTATGGGGAGGAAACGCATTATTTCTTTAAATCCTTGAAGTCATGGGGTGCATATATATGTGTGTGTGTGTGCACATGCATGTGTCCATATGTGCTTGTTGGGGGTATTTCCAAGGCTAAAGGTTCTAAGTGGACTAGGGAGGGAATGCTAATGCCAGCAGAGTCCTCCTCCCCAGTGAACTTGGCAGTGGGATGGGTGTGGTGGCAACAACCCTCTAGGAGATCTGTGGGGCATGGCTCTGTCTGATTATTCCCACCTACTGGCTAGGGACTCAGCCCTTGGGGTTATCTAGGGCTTGACCAGTGTTTTATGTAAGTTGCTGTCTAGGTGACTAAATCCCCTGCTCGCAGCAGACTCCCTGCCAAGTGTGACACGTACTAGGAGGAATCATGCATCACCCACATGGCTGTGTCGTGGGCCCCCACACACCGTCTTCTCCTCCCTTTAACGTGGAGAATGTTAATGGGGCTGACACTGAGCCGCACACGTTAAGCCAAGTTTTACTTCAGCTTATCTTAAGAAAGCAAATGCAGAATCCTGAGGTCCAAGCTGCCAAGTGTTTCTGTTTTAAAAATATGATTCTTGGGAGACAGAGAGTAGGAGATGAGGTAGTATTTCACTATGTATTATCATCAGTTGTAGATAATATTTTCAATGTGCATGAAGAATGTGTCAGTTATGATATACTCATGTTATCTTCTAGAGTAAGCATGGATCTTCAAATCCCAAATCTGAAACTTGTATGTTATTCGGACCCTGGAAGTACAGAGTTTGAATTATCAACTGCACCCAAATAATTCCAGTGTTATCTGTCTTTAGCTTTTTCCATTTATCCAAAAATTGAAGTAAGTCATTGACAAGGGTGTCAGGGAAGAGAATGACAGGAAAACATCTGAAACTAGTGCAAATACCCTTTCACCTATCCATCTAGGAACCTTGTCTTGAATTAAACCCCCTCTCAGGCCAAATTAACCCTAGTTTCAATTTTTCAAGTGCTCTGCCTGTATTGTCAACTCCTGTTTACTTAAAAAAAAAAAAAAAGCAAATACTTTCTAAGGCCTTGAAGCATGTCCCATTTCACAAGTGCTACCATGGCATATCTCTTTTGTCTTAGTCTGTGTAACTTCCCTGAGCCTTCCACAGCCTACCCTGACTCTAAAAGAAACAATGTTTTTAGAAACCAGTTCATGAGAGTTACTGGGTGTGGAGAAACAGAAATGATCTTTTCTTGGGTGTGAGTGCTGGGCAGTCAGCTAGGGTCACTAGCCACAGCCTCACTTCAGCCTCTCAAATAGGGATGATCAAATGTATTTTTTGGCAAAATGATGAATGACTATGTCCTAAGAACCTTTGGGATCACTTACACATCACAGAATGCTGTTAGAGAAGGCTTAAAGTGTCCACCATATGATAGAATATTACTAATTCAGAGTGCCAACAATTTAAATTCTGGTCATTTAACCTGAAGTGAAGGAGAAGCCAACCAACAGGGCAGAGTGAAACTTTAACCTCTTAGAATAAACTTTCCCACTACTTCAAAAGCACTCATTTGTATTAGTTTGAAACATTGCTTACGAGTTCCCTATATTATTAAACTCTATTAACTTGCATTGATAAGACTGTGTTATGACAGCATTATAGATCTTACTTAAAGCTTCTATATGACTCTGAAATTTACAAAATTGCATTTTAAAAAAGCTTTAATTCAGATTTGGAAACGAATGCAGACTTTTAGAACCTAACGCAGTTCAAATTACTCCAACTTGATTAGGTTTTTAAATACCTGATCAGAAATTGAGAGACATAGCTGTGTATTCTCAGGTCTTCAGATGACTTTAAAGAGACATCTGTATTAAAGTTACAAGCTTCCTAAAGTTGCTCACTCCTTTACGAAACGTTTATTAGGGTGGTTTAGAAATTGTTCTGAATGGCAACCTCAACCAGATGTTCTCTTTATTGGTCCTTTCAGCTCTGGCTTTTCAGGTCTGGGATTCCCTAATTTTATAATTTTCCAGGATCACAAAAGTCTGGGTCAGGGACCATGGTGTTTATAGTGTCTGCAATGCCATTTATTGTTCAGGAGTGTTTACTCATGGTATTATGGAAGGCAGAGGCATGGGGGAAAAGGAAAAGGGAAATTCATCATGCTAATCTCTTACCTATCTGGCAGCCAAGATTTCCCTGATCAACCTGCAAAGAAAAGAAAGGACTCCAGCACAGGGCAGCTATAGTAATATGGAGATACCTCAAAAAACTAAAAGTAGAACTCCCATTTGATCTAGCAGTTCCACTACTGGGCATCTACCCAAAGGAACAAAAAGGCATTCTATAACAAAGACATCTGCACTTGAATGTTTATGGCAGCACAATTCACAGTTGAAAAGATGTGGAAACAACCCAAGTGCCCATCAATACATGAATGGATTAATAAAATGTGGTATATGTATACCATAGAGTACTACTCAGTCACAAAAACAATGGTGATCTAGCACCTCTTGTATTACCCTGGATGGAGCTGAAGCCCATTCTCTTAAGTATCACAAGAATAGAAAAACAAGCACCACATGTACTCAATATCTAATAGGTACTGATTGATGAACACCTATGTGCACATATAGAAGTAACATTCATCAGGTGTTGGGCAGATGGGAGGGTGGAGGAGGGGATGGGTGTATTCACGCCTAATGGGGGCAGTATGCCCCGTCTGGGGGATGGGCATGCTTGTAGCTCTGACTTGGGTGGTGCAAAGGCAACTTATGTAACCTAAACGTTCATACCCCTATAATATTCTGAAATTTAAAAAAAGAGAACCAAGCAGAGGAATAGCTGGGTGGAAATGCTCTTAGGACAGGTCCCAAAGAAAAGTGTGAGGGGGAAACAACCCTCTTGTCCATTAAGGGTCTTCCCTGAGGCTTTCACAGCCTACCCTGACTCATCCCCGCTAATAACACAACCCCAATGACAACTGCGATATTTTAAAATTAGGTAGGTGACTTGCATTAATTTCTCAACTCACCTGATAATGAACATTTATAATCCCACAACAGGAAAGGTAAATAATAGGCTATATAATTTTAAATTCTCTCTTACCTTTACAAATGAATCATCTTATAGAGCTGCCTGGAAAACTCACACTTTAAAAAAGGAATGAAGATTTTCAAATCTTATCCTCATTATATCTAAATCTGGATGAAAAAAATTTAGGTCTCTAACATTTCATTTCTAGGAATAAGCTTTTGTTGGATAAAGATTCCTCATATACATAAATTATCTTTTAAAGTTTCCAACTAAGGATTTTCAAGCATCACATCACCTAAATGGCAGAGTAGAATGGAAAATTAAGGTAAGCAAATATTTTTTTTTTTCACCATGCTTAGTAATACAGAAACTGTGTTCCTTTTCCAGCTCTGGGTATCTGATTCATAAGAGGGTTACACATTCTGTCCTCTATCACTCAATATGAGCCACTGTCCTGCTGTCCACTGTCTAAAAATACTTATATTTTATGAGGATGCTGCCATTTCATAAGCTCTTGGTGGAGGGACTTTGCACATTATCAGATGTGCAAACAATAATAATCTCTTTGGAAACTGGGCACGGCCACTGCTCTCTCTTGTTCTGCACCTTAGTCTTCAAGACTGCAACAACGCATGTCTCCTCCAGAGGGCCCGTGTTTGAGAGAATGATTTAACTCCTATATCAAACAAGTGATGGGAGGGAAAAGCTAATCCTTAGGACAAACATTCTCTATTGTGTGATGTATGAATTCCTGTGACTGCTATAAGCAGCAATGACAGAAAGAAAACAGCAGGAAAGTTTGCAAAGATACAAGTTTCTGACACTATTTGGAAGGGTGACAAAGGGTCTTCCACACAATCTGTGACCGGGGATGTAAAATCATACTCATTCCGAAAGATATGCCTAAAAAATGAACAAAGTTCTGTGACTATTCAGAAGCCAGGCTTGCTCTCATTTTCCTGAGTCACAGAACCCGTTGGAGCAAAACAGACCTAATCCACATAATGGTTTAAGAATTACAATCTTGTACAGAAAACTGCAGGGCATTTATCAAGTCCAGCAACCCTAAACACAATCTTGTGGTCAAATGAAGTTTAACTTCTTCTCTATCAGCTTTTAGGCAAAATGAACTACTCTTGGTAGCCTGCAACAAAGCTGGCAGCTGAACAAGAACAGAGTGAATAAAACTGTCAATGGTCAGACCATGAGAAAAAGTTCCCTGGAATCAGTGGGAGCTAGGCATAAATAATGCCTGGTGGATTAAATCCTAAGGGATCTATGAGAAGAGATGTCCGGGAGAACCTGAGACTATTAACTTCTGCAGACTGAGGCCAACAGTATTCTCAGGCACACTAATGGGCACTTTGGCACTTACGCTACAGACTTGAAAAATGCACCCACATTCACCATCTACCTGAATAAATTGTCAGTGTTACAAAAATGAGATCCATATTAGTTACCTTGGAAAAATGCTTCCCAGTTCAGGCACAAGAAAGCATGAGAAGTTACCTCTTGGCTTTATTTAATTAGGAAAAATACAAGTGAAACAGTTTATTCATATGCAGATGGTGTGCATAGGATCAGAAACACTTTCACACGTAAATGTAGTGGCTTCTGGAGCATTTTCTAAGTTCCTTCTCCCCACTCCACCTCCAATCTGCTCCTAACAGACTTCCCGAGAGACAGTTACAAGGCCTGCAGTAAATGCTGTCATGCACAAGTAGGATCTTGAAACAACGTGCAAATATCCTGATATTAATCTGGCAGCAGGCTTTTGGCCACAGCTGACTTCGTCTATAAATTCAATCCTTTCCCACAAGGCCATGGGAAGAGGATTCTGGCATTGGCCTACCTATTCCTAAGGAGCAAACAGGGAGCCCCCTAGTTTCAGGAACTGAGAGACGCCAGCCCTGCTCCAGTGCTGACATACACTGAACCGCCGGGAGCTTTCCGCACCAGCCAAGGGCTATTTCTGAATACTCCCGGGTGTCGCCCAATAGGCAATAAAAACAAACAGGATTTTATCAGCTGCTTTCTCATGAGGTGCTGGAAAGCCAGCCTCATTTGTATTCTAGAGTGGGGGGTGTTCTTTGATCTAAATAAGTTTTCTCCCTCTCCTTTTGAAACTTTTATTTAACAGTGAACTCATGATGTCTACTGGCTGAAGAAGAAACATTTGCCTCCAACAACTGTCGCAGTTCAGACAGCAGTTTCCAGGTTAGCACTCCGCGGGAAGCAGAGTGGATCATCAGTTAAGGTTCCAGAGAAAAGATCCTGCTCTCCAACCCGTGTTTGCTACGCTCCGCCACTTTTCATGATTGCTAAGGTGTGTTCCCTATCACGTGCCCAGGGTTAAAAATTAATGGTCAGAACCTGATCAGGGAAAATAAACGGCGGTGTGTGGAGTAGGCGAGGTGTTGCCATCGCCCCCGGCGGGGGAGAGCTTGCGCACAGCCGGCACCTTGCACTCCAGATAGTTTCTAAACCTTCTTTCCCCATCCGTTCTGTGGGTGACACTGCGTGAACCCAAGCGCCCTGCACCGCAGCGTCTCCCTGGATCTCCCTCAGGCCCCCAGTCCCAGCGAGGTCTCCGGTGCCTCCAGCAGTCCGCAGTCACCCCACCCCGCGCACACCCGGCCCTTTGTCCCGCTCCACCCCGCGCCTCGCTCCCCCGGCGCCCGGGCGGACGCCCCGAGCCCGCGCCCGCACTCACCCGCGCCGAGCAGCCCGCGCGGCCCGCGGCTCGCTGCGCCGCTCAGACAGGTGTGGGCGCCGGGAGGGCGCGCGCGGCTCCCATGCCTGCCCCGCGGCGCGACCGAGTGCGAGCGAGCGAGCGAGCGGCGAGCAAGCGCCGGCAGCGGCGGGCCGCCCCGCCTCCCCAGGCCCGCGCGCCGCCTCCGGCCTCGGGAAGCGCGCGCCGCCGCCCCGCCCGCCCGCGCGCGCCCGCGCCTCCCCGCCCCGCCTCCGGCCACAGGGACAGACAGGCGAGGGGACCTGTGGCCGAGCGGCCCCGCGCAGGTGGGCCCTGGCGGCGGGCAGCTCTCGCCTGTCCCGCCCTCTCCGCGCCTGCCAGCGCCAGCTCTAGTGGACCCGCCTGCCCGGAACCCGCGCGCCCGCGCCCTTTCAAGGGTCTTTGCTGCCTGCAGTACGCTGCCGGCTCGGGAAGACGAGGTGCCCCCTGCAAAGGCCACTCCCAGCCCCAACAAGCCTAGACCGGGGACGCGGTGCATGGGGGAGTCCCTGGGCAAATTGGAGGAGTTGGCTCAAAACCTGTGCGCTCCTCACCCCACGAACATTTTGAATGGCTTAAGGTGATGACCGAGCTCCTTCCTGCTCAACCCACTGTCTCAGGTGACTCCCAGGAACGGAAACCTGCATTCCCGTGGTGGGACCACCACTGCTTTGCATCACCTACAGCACCCAGTGCAGTGTGTGGTCCAGAGTACCGTAGGGGCTTGGCGGCTTCTGCATGGCGGGCTGGCTGGTGAGCCCACCGGCCCCAGTTCTTCATCGGGGTGCCAGCTGGTGGAGCCACCTCCTTGCCCACTGGGCCTGCTTCACCGAGTCACTGGAAGCGGTCCACATCTAGGGGTCATTTCCTAGGCAAGCTGGAGACCTTACCATTTAAGGACCTAACAGCTAGGACCTTCCTGTTGCTTCCCAAATGCACTAGTGTTAATATAGATTACCATGTACTGAGCACCTTCTGTGAGCCAGCTTTATGTATAGACAGATGTGAAGGAGGTGCAGAGATTACCACTCATTACGACTAGGAGATTTAGAGAGGTTTAATCACTTTCCCAAAGTCACACTGTCATTGAATGGTAGGACAAGAATTTGCACTGAGGCAACACTTTTTCCATCAAGCCACTTAGCTTTTCTTTCTCTGATCAAAGCCTGCTCTCAAAAAGGGAGCCAGTCTCACATACTATTTCACACCAAGGTGTTAACGGCATAACTAATGTGTTTGTGTTTGCAATTGATTTTTAAATAGGAAAGCACTAAACGCATTATTGCCCGCTGTTTCTGCTGTTTCTTAAATATAAAGGAAATGAATATAGTTCTCACCGTTTTAAGGACAAAATTTTCTTAGACCTCCCCAGGCTTAGCTTAAATTATTATTTTTTAAATGTTGTGTTAACATATACACATTAAACCAGATATAAACGTATGTTACAGCTTTAGAACTCACAAATAAAACCAAAACAAATGTATAGATTAAATATAAAAATTTCCTTCCAGATTAATACATTTTAAATTAGTAATGTTTCTTCAACGACTACCAGGATCACGTGGTACTGAGTGCTTAGGGGTGGTCACCTTTGAGTTCTCTGTGGCTGCACCACTCTTATGATGTGTGAAGCGCCCTCTACTGACTCAATTCTCTCTTCTCTTTCCTTTCATCTACCGCGCCTCCTCTGCTCACACGCCATGTCATTGCAATGTTTGCTTTCACTTGACTCTAATATATTATTTAGGGATTAACTTTATGCTGTCCCTTTCTTATTAGCATAACAAGTGAAGCGGTAGTTCTTGATGTCAAGGAACAGTACGTACAGGCACTGAAATCAAGACTTGGTATGAAATGATCACCTAATTATTTTATTGTTTATTATAAAAATGAAAAACTTAGGGAGCTTTTAAGAGTCTGTAGCTCCCAATTGGATAAACATCATTAAAAGGTGAGAGTAGCTAGACGTGGAGTTGGAAGGAGGGGGAAGAAGGGAGAGACTTCTTCTCAACCATGCTCAAGTTTTATTAAATTTACTCCAATCCAATGGATATTTATTGAGTTCTTATTACATGCAAAGCATTGTGCTAGGCACAAAATTAAAGGGATGACCATAGGAAGACAATAGAGCAGTATAATTAAGAGTGGCCAGTGGCATCTGACTGTGTGGGTCAGATGCCCCATTCCAGGGCTGTGTGGCTTTTGACTTAACCCTTCTGCGTGCCTCAGTTTCCTCCTCCATAAAATTAGGACTACCTCACAGGGTTGTTTTAAGAATTGAATGTAAAAATACATTCAGGGCTAGGCCCACACATCTACTGACTGCCCACGCTGTATAAGGTTACTGGGGCTGTGGGAGAGAAAGCAAATGCCCTTCACCTCAAGGAATTTATGCAACGGATTTAAAAAACATAAAATCAAATATAGGAGAAAGTGAGACATAGGCTGGATCAGGGTACAGAAATAAGCTAGCAAGTATGGAAGAGTGAATCATTAATTCCCACTCTAACAGGTGCTGAAGGCTTCCCTGAGACAGAATATGAGCTGAAGCTCAAATGAAGAAGACCTGGGCAGGTTTTAACATAGGTTATCTCACTAGGTTCACAAAGCTACTTTGAAACATAAACAAGAAGAAAAATACTCACTGTATAGATGAGAAGATTAATTCCTGAGTTAAGGGAGCAGAAGTAGGACTAAATTTTAGTAATTCTAGCTATGTTTATTGAGTGCATTCCATGTGCCAGGTACTGTGGAATATGTTTTATTGCATATAATCTCTAAGACAAACAGAAAAAAGTGGGACTATGATTTTTCCCTTCTGCAGATGAGGAGACTGAGGCTCAAAGTTTTTTTTTTTTTTTTGAGACAGAGTCTAGCTTTGTTGTCCAGGCTAGAGTGAGTGCCATGGCATCAGGCTAGCTCATAGCTCCTGGGCTCAAGTGATCCTGTTGCCTCAGTAGCTGGGACTACAGGCATGCACCACCATACCCGGCTAATTTTTTCTATATATATTAGTTGGCCAATTAATTTCTTTCTATTTATAGTAGAGATGGGGTCTCGCTCTTGCTCGGGCTAGTTTGGAACTCCTGACCTCTAGCAATCCGCCCGCCTTGGCCTCCCAGAGTGCTAGGATTGCAGGCGTGAGTCACTGTGCCTGGCCTCAAAGTGTTTAAATAGAACACCGGGTGCCATACTACAGTCCCAAGTTACACAGCTGTGACTTCTGCCCAGTCTGTTTCATTCTTTAGCCAGGTTCCATTTGTTGTATTACTTCCCAGACCTGCCTTTTCTCATGCTGACTGTAAGAAGGTTGAATCAGTTACTGATGTCGCTCCAGGTCTAAACATCCTTTTGATTCTATCTTGCTTTTGTTCCAGTTGTGCAACAACTTAGCAATCACCGGTTCAAAGGCCTCAAAGCAGGAAACGAGATGGGATTGAATGATAATTGGGAATTTAGGGTGGCAGGAAGGTGAGAGACCCAATGCCAACATTAAACTGTTAAACTCAATCTTGGTGCTTATTCTTCATGAGACCATGACCAAGCTTCAACAGTTTAAGTCAGTTTGAAAGTTATCAGAAAGGATTATTTCTAAGGAGATAAATTTGCATACTTAAAAATAATTTCTATATGGTTTCTTATTTCTTTGGTGATAATAATCTAATTGGATTAGATTAATCTAATTGGACTAGTCTAATATGGATCTAGTAGTTTACTCAGGAATTGTTTTTTTTCCCAGCTCCATGGAGTGAGTGAAAAGAATTGGAATAAGAGTCCCACATGGGTGGTGGGCAGGCCTTCTATGCCTGTCTCATAACGGTGCTGTGTGACTTTGGACATCACCACATTCGCTGGCCTTGATTTCTCATCTGTAAAAAGAGAGTCTAGATGACCTGCTCTTACAATCTTGGGTTTATGACACTATAATTCTTAAGCAAAGATGATCCACACTGTGTTTTATCCTTGGCTTGCACAGTGCCTCCCACGGGGTCCTGGAGTAGCAAAGAATGTGGAATTCTGGAGTCAGACTGACTTGGAGACAATTTAGAATTCATTTACTTGTTGGGTAACTATGGGCAAGTTATGTGACTTTCTGTGCCTCACTTTGCTCATCTGTACAGTGGGTCTAATTTAGGGCCATTGTCATCATTGAGATAATCAGTACAAAGCACGTAGCACAGGGTTTAGCACAAAGTAAATTCTAAATTGGCATTATCTATTGTCACTACTACTGCTGCTATTACTACTGTGAGAGTTCAATACATATTTTAGAAAATTGTGGAATGAATAAATGAATGAATCAAACTGTTATGTTATCAACACTAAAAGTGTAATCCAGGCTTCCTCAGAAAAAACATGTCTTATGACTTCTGTTCAATTCCCCAAATCTTCCTATCTTCAATCTGGTGTATAGGCAAAAGAGTTTTAGTATTAAATTTAAGGCAAATTACAGATTCAAATGTGAGCCAAGTTTGTATTTTTGGTTTCCTTTTCCATTCTCCATGGCACCATCAGTTGATTCAACAAAACATCTATTGAACCACTAATATTGTAAGGTTTAGCTATTTGTCACTGTCTTAAGGGTAAAACCAGGTTGTTTTTTCTTATAATGCTGGATTTAAAATCTTATCACAACAAACTCCCATAATAAAAAACAAATCTAACAAGATGAAGCACTAAAACAAAATAAAAATCTCCACACTACTTAGTAAAACAAAACAAATATATTTATATCACATTTAAAACTTTCTAAAAATTCCTGGTTTTGTTAAGTATAGATTACTCACTTTAAGTGTTTGGAAATATAGGTAGTCAACACACTCTGAATATAAACACGTGAAGATGTAATATATAAAAGCCTAACATAAAAGAGTTATCACATTGTACAGTTAAATTGCCACATTGGTGGAGATAGTACTCTAAGAAAAAAAGCTACACAGTAAGGAAAAGCTTTACTCTAATCCTACTTAGAATATAGCAATCTAAAATTATCAGGAAGAAAAACAGGCTTTGGCACTAGCAATTTCCTGTATACCGTGGGCGCTATTTTAAACTAAAAAATTAGAAACATTTTGAAATAACTATGTGTTTCTCATTTTCTCTGGTCAAATTCAAAATGTCTCTAGAGGCCAGCATTGGTACAGTCTCTGATGTATTCTAACTTGCATACAGGAT